AAATACCTGTTTAACAAGGTTGTCCATTAGGATTGTTTTGCTTTTAATGATGGAGTTATAGAATTCTGCATTTTGAAAATTTTTTATCATTCATATGTATTATAGGTATTATTGTCCAGTCTATGCCTTGTATTTTTACAGTTTTACATTGTCTATCAACAGAGTAGATTTTATGTTATCAATATCCATTGCATACAGTTTCTTACTGTGACTAATGTTTTGTAAGCTGTACCTGAAAGTATCAGATTATTGGACTAAAATCAACAATAAAGTCTATAATTCAAGTATTTAGTTTATATCTTTGATCTACCCTGTTTTAATTTTTCTATATACTTAATATAAGGATCAATATTTGATTTCTTTATTAATATGCACTTTAAATTTTTCAGGGTCATTTGTTGAAAGAGCCTCTATTTTCTATTAATTTTATTTTCTTTAAACTTTTATATCTAAAATGAAATGACTATAAATGCATGGCTTATTTTTAACTAGCATGTTCCCTTGATTTTATGTAGCCCTTTATGTAAATATCATTGTCTTAATTACTCTAGATTTATAGAAAACCTTGGAATTAAATTTAAGAATTCCAACATGACTCTCTCTCTCTCTCTCTCTCTCTCTCTCTCTCTCTCTCTCTCTCTCTCTCTCTCTGTCTCTCTCGCTCTCTTCTCTCTCTTTTGAGACAGGGTTTCTCTGTGTAGTTTTGGTGGCTGTCCTGCATCTCACTCTGTAGACTAGGCTGGGCTCGAACTCACAGAGATCTGCCTGGTTCTGCCTCCTGAGTTCCGGGATTAAAGGTGTGTGCCACCACTGCCCAGCACCAACATGACTCTCTTTATGACTCTCTTAACCAGTTGTTTAGCTTATTCTAGGCCATTTATATTCTCTAAATATTATAAAAATTATATTGTTAATCTTCTTTTTAAAATGTTGCCTGCAACAATTTTAAATGGGTTTGTATGGATTCTATTGATCAATTTTTGGAGAATTAGTAATTGTTAACTGACTACCATTGCTATAGCTACCTTGTTCTTAGACAGCATATCTAGTTTAGCTCTGAGTCTAAGAACACTTTAGCTCCAGTTTTTAGAATCTCCTTTATTTCTCTGAATATTTTATATCTTCATGGTGCAAATACTGCAGTTTCTTAAACTGTGGATCTTTTGCAGTTTTGGTTGTAATTGTGATTACTTAAAAAGATTTTTCTATTGCTCACTGCTAGTACATAGAAATGTAATTCAGTTTTGTATAGATCCTATGCCTTTGTGTTGTAGTTGGTTATATATTTCAATAGCTCCTATGTGGATTCATTAGGAACTTCTATATACATAATCATGTGACTTCATGATTAATTACATCTTGATGTCACGTCTGTGCTTTTAATTCATTTTATTTTCCTTCACTAGTATTAATGAGGAGTGCTCAGTGTAAGGATATTTATTGTGTGCCTAATGTTGGTCTTTAAACCAAGTATGATCTTAGAGACTGGTCCTTTCTGTCCCTAGATTACTAATATACTTTACTATAAATGCACGTTGAATTTTCTCAAATCCTGTCACTCAAATCCTTCTCCTTTTTGTTTTGATAATGTGGTGAGGATCATGATTGGTATTCAAAAGTTAAGTCATGGATTCTTGAGAAAACCCCTTGTGGTCACTATATTCCCTTTTAAAAGATTTACAGGATTAACT